CTCATCTGAACATGATGTTCACATTCCATTTAGTTTAGGGATGGCTAGATGTTTCAGGGCTTTTGGTGCAACCCTTTACAGTACTCATGATTAAGGATTTAAAAGAAACATGGTGCTGCTGGGAGCAAGTCTGCTTCTTGCAGCTATCATTTATCTTCCTCTAAAAACAACAACAAAGAAGAAATGTGGTGGGGCCAGAAATCTGTTCCCCCCCTCCTCAAAACACATGGATCACTCCACTCATCTCTATATGCAACCTGGCTCAGGAGTATCAATGGGGAGGAGTCAAAACAAGCAAGATGGCTTGATGATCCATTGACATCATACATGTGTAAACAAGTGGCTGGATTGCAATACCACCATCTTGCCTATTTTGAGACCTCCGACCAGCAACCTGATCTGCTTGCCCTCTTTTCATTTGCTGATGTTGCTCCTGCTAATTTTTGAAAGTTCCTACTTCTGAAAGGCCTAATGAACATAGAGGCCTCTCAAAACAGAAGCCCAATTGTTTGGGCCTGGCAAGGAAGAGAGACTTTCAAGAAATCTGCCTCTTTTGGCAACATAAAGCCATCGCAGAAACATCCCAGCATAGACACCAATGCTAAATTCTCATTCTCTGGTCACTGAGGCTTGTAAAAACCAAAACTTCTATATAATTGCCTGTGACTGGAACACTAGTAAGTCGAAAAGAGGTTGGGAGGAACCTCCTTAGCAATCTGATATGAATGGAGGAGTGAGTGATATGTTTGTGCATGTATCGATCTGTGTGTGACAATCAAAGACTAAAATGTGGTATCCTTGGTGCTCTCTGAGCCTGGTTATTTGCTTGCAGATGTTTCATTATCCAACTAGGTAAGTTCATCAGAGCACCGAGAGCACCAAGCTCAGAGAACACCAAGGACACCACAGTTCAACCCTGAGCTACATATATTCTCTTCTATAAAGACTAAAATATCAAGCATATTACAGTGCAATAAAGTCCAATGCACTCAAGTAAGAATGCGGGGGAGGGGGAACAGAATTAAAACTTATTACCATCAGAATGGTTTTTAAATTAAATTTATGGTCAGAGGACAAAGCAAAGAAGTAAGATACCATGTGTATTAAATCAATCAGGAGGATAAAGTAAAAAGCATTAAAAATAAATAAATACAAATCTGCTTAGGGAAAACAAATTAACAAGATTGCCATACAATTAATGGTCTCACAGTAATAGAGATTGCAAGGAATTTGGCTATCTTTCAGGATATATTTATTGAGCTGTCAGCTAAAAGGAAGCAAGTGTTCTCCTCAGCCAATCTTGCATGACCATGAGTCAGAAGGGAGTTATTAATTCAACGGCCTTGTCCTGTAAAAATGGCATTGCAAAAGGACAATTTATATGTCCTCCAGGGGCATGGGCAAAGACTTTGAACTGGAACATTGTGAAATCTTCTGGCCTTATATCAGGCCAGGATAAAGGCTGTTCCGTGAGATGGACAAAGGATGTTTGCTAAGCATTTTGCATGAGAAGATGATCTCCTAAAGAGACCCATGGCATACCAAGTAGGGGTTTGGGACAAGTCCTGCTGAATACCTATGTCAAGGGCCCTTTGTTTCAAATTTAACCTGGGCTGAGGGAGATCAAACAGTTAACAGAAAAACTGTAACATTTTAGATCAGGTAGGATCCCTTTCTTCCATGAGGATATGAAGTTGCCCTATAAGATCAGGAGGGCCAGGGTATGACCAAAGAAGTGTAATTTAATCCAGAATTTCAGATGATAGAATCACATATAAGTCTCCAAAGACATTAGCCCAGATTCCAATCTTATCAGATGGCTGGAGACACTCTGGGGTACTTGGAGCAAGACACTTACAATTTTGGAGTGAAGTGCCTCAGTGGGATTTGGGTCATGACACAGCAAATCTGTGCCCCGTGTAACAGATAGCTAATGATCTTGGCTCTAAAGATTTTAATGGCTGCTGGTATATGGTTATTTCCATTTAAAAACCTGTGGGCCTGAGCAGTAATGGCCCTACACTGTTCATTCCAGGAGGGCAAAGCTGGGAGGCCACCCGAGGTATCTATATCCGCATGTCAGCTTGATACTGAATGCATTAAACAGGAGTGCTGGCCAGGGATGGTTCATCTGGAGAAACTGACTATATAGTGGTACCTCTACTTACGAACACCCTTACTTATGAATTTTTCGAGATACGACCAGCTCCGGCCCCAAAAATTTACCTCTACTTACGAACGCGCCTCTACTTAC